CATACCAGAGATGTAGGCTTTTGAGCACAACAACTTCCTTGAGCGTATTGCAGAAAGTATACCGGTAGAGTGAAGCAGATTATGAACTGGGGGGATCTTAGCTTTCAGAATGAGATCTTCAATTTGAACATTACACTTTCGCCTCCTTCTGTTGGCTTTTCGAAGCCTCCAGTAATATTCGCCGTGGTTGCTGTTGTTGTTGTGGTTGTTGCTGCGGCGATTGCTGTTGCTGTTGTTGTCTGCGACTTCAGGGTAGGATGAACGAACGAGCCAGTTCTTAGCCTTTCAGCAGCGCTAATGAAACTAATGAAGTCTTCTGGAAAATCGTTTCTATTGAATCAACATGATAAACAAAAAATCAGAATTATCCTCCCTCAAAAACTGAAAAAAATGAAGTCAGCAATAGATGACAGTTTACCATCGCTTAAATTTTTGACAGTTTTGAGATCGAAACCAGACGGATGAGCTGCACAAGCTGCCTCCCATGCCGAATGACAACGAACAGCAAGCGTTTCGCCAATTCCTGCAATTTTTTTTTGAATCACTGAATTCGTTTAATTATTGAAAATCAGTCGGAAGCATTACATTATATGTTTACGACCGGCTGTCGATTAATGTAACTATCCGAATTCCTTCCCGAAGGTTCGCAATTCCCGGGGGTAAAGATGAGCAATCTACACTGTCGTTGGCAATACAACCAGTATCGATTGATCCCGATTTATCAACACCCTTCAATTCAATGGGAAAACATTCTTTGAAAGTTCTATCGCCATGTGGTTCAAGCAGTGGCCTTTCTTTTCCGTATTACTTCCCTAACAGCGCCTGCGCACCGGGTGCGCTTCGTTGCGCGCGTTCGTCAAAACTGGGTCACGCCGCAGCCGTCGCATGCGACGCGTTAGCCCGCGATCTTTGACAAACGTCGCAGTTGTCTGTGGGGCAAACGATTTGCGCTTGGTCCACGACAGTCAGCCAAAGAAAGATAACGCGGACAAGTGCAAATCAGTCGCTCCACTGACACTTAGTGGTAGTGTAATGCCACGCCAAGATTTCAGTTGGGATGCGTCGCGCGCGAAGTGGGCGGGGTGACCTACTTTCGACGGACGCGCGCAACAGACGTTCCCCCTGCGCACCTAGCGTAATAGGCGCCATTCACAATGTACACTGCGCTGGGAACTCAGAACTAGTCGTCACCAATTGCCACAGCAAAAAGCATTTTTGGGTTAGCTTAATGGTGTCAGCTCCTTACTCATTTGCATTTGAAATCCCATCCGATATTTCCTCTAGTTCCATTTCGTTATAGTTTTCGCGGACAATCCCTATTTTCACTACTTTTAGGAAACCTTTCTCGTGTAGTTGGCGAATTTTCTCGCTTATTCGCCACCGGTGCACTATTCCCACACATTCGCTTTTCAACTTAAAAGGGATAGAAGGGCTCCTTAAAATTATCGTGAGCAATGTACTTGTAAGTTAACCACTACAGTAGTCGAAATGCCTCTTTCTTTGCAACATGTCTCGGAGTCAAATTTCCTCTGTGTGGAAGGTTCTGTCCATAGGCTGTTTTCACAGTCCGCCAGCGTTGCCAGCCGAGGTAGCGCTAGGGGGGAGGAGGAAGGCAGACGGTCGACCCGGTCGCGTCGCGCCCAAGCCCCTTCGGAGGGCTGAAAACGAAGAAAAACAAGACCAAAAACCAACAACCTGGGGCTTGGGCAAATGGTTTTTGATCTTGTTTTCCTTTGTTTTCAGCCTTTCGAAGGGGCTTGGGCGCGACGCAACCGCGTCGACCGACCGTCTGCCTCCCTCCTCCCCCTAGCACTACCTCGGCTGGCACGCCGGCACGCCGGCGGACTGTGAAACCAGCCATACGCCTAGTCAAGAACGGTCAAGTACTTAGGGGTCTTCATTACCGAAGATCTCAAGTTCAAAGGCATATTAACGACGTCCGTAATAAAGTATTAGGAGCTAGTGCATTGTCTATTTAGAATAATCATTACTCATACATCGCGGTATGACTCAAGTATTCAAGACGTTTCTACTACCTTTCTCAAAAACTGTAGCGTTAGGATGGTGTGAACTTCCTTTTTATTAAATGTGATCGCGAAATTGAAAGAGCAGGTGCGGTTCCGGCCATCGAATTACTTACTAGAAATTTCATCCTTCGAAGGGGATATGCGGTGGATCGTATAAACTTGCCACAGTCTTTGTTTTTTGGGTTGCATTACTGACGAGTGTACAAGTTATGATTTTGTACAAGTTCTCTTTTGTTTCTCTGCCAACGTGAGCCGCAGACCGTTCTTTCCTTCATCTGAATAGAGTTTCTCGTAATTTTTGCTTAGTTTCCTGGATTTTGCTCGGTCCTAACCTTCGAGGCATTAAAAGGCTTGGCCTGGGACTCTTTTCTCGTGTGTTGAAGCTTCGGTAAATGCTAGTGATCTTGTGCCAGCTTGTGCAGGCAGCTGACCCTAGGCCGACTGTAATATGCCCCAACTCGCTTGGGACTTAGCCCCTTTCCCCCTTTCTATAGCTGTTTGATGTTGTCACTTGTTTGTGTTCACAGTTGAATGATTAGGTGATTAGCGTTATTTGGAACATACCGTGAATGTGCTTGAGATCCGTAATCGTGGAAACTTCGAGCGGGTAACTCTTCAGACTGCAGAACGCTTTATGCACAACCGACTTCTGATTCTTATCTTCGGTTCCCTTCCGCAGAACTTGTAAGAATCGCTCATAAAACGTCTTTTGAACATGTTCTGCTCGAACTTTGATCCTTCTTTCTGGCATCTTTCCCTCTGAAAGCAAAAAGAACCGTATTACTGGGGAAGGCAAACTATTGTGCTAATCATTAAAATTAACCGAAAGTTTGATAAATTTACAGGAGAGGAACAAAAGTAGTGGCACATTGTTGTCTATTAGATAATTTATACTCCTATAAATGCTTCTCGAACAATGATTAAACTTGATTTCTACATACCGCTACGTTTCCTTACTTAGGAAAAAAAATGTTTCACAGCGTACATTGCGCGCTTTGGCTGAACTTGAACTATTCACAAGACCACGTAGGAACGAAATTAATTACAGAACTACAGTGACCCTGCGGTGGAACAAAATGCGAAGGACTTAAACTCTCACATTAAATATCACTTCACGGCATAACCTTATTTGGAAACAAAAACTCCAAGCCGTCACGCAC